AAAAATGAAATTGAAGCTATAAAGTACAGCCACGTACAATGGGTAAACTCATTGACAGAGATGAGGAATGATCTAATAGCTGTGCAAAGCCAACTAGATAATGCAGAGGAACGAATTAGTGATCTAGAAGACAGGGCAATAGAAAGCACCCATTCAGAATAACTACAAGATAAGCAAATAAAAATAATGATAATAGCATAAGGGACCTAAGGGATAATATAAAGCATCCCAATCTTTGCATAATAGGGGTTCCAGAAGGGGAAGAAAGATTAAAGGAGATTGAAAAGGTTTTTCAAGAAATCATGAATGAAAACTTCCCAAACTTAAAGAAGGGAACAGATATCCAAGAACAAGAAGCTCAGAGGGTCCCAAACAGGAAGAACCCAAATAGACCCACACCTAGACATATCATAAACAAGATGGCCAGAGTCAAGGGTAAAGAAATGATTCTAAAGGCAGCAACAGAAAAGCAAAGAGTGAATTATAAGGGAACCCCCATAAGACTCTCAGCTGATTTCTCTACACAAACACTACAGGCCAGAAGGGAGTGGCAAGATATATTCAAAGCCATGAATGAAAAAAAGATGAAGCCTAGGATACGTTATCCAGCAAGGCTATCCTTTAGGATAGAAGGAGAAATAAAGAGTTTCACAGACAAGGAAAAGATGAAGGAGTTTAGCAACACTAAACACATGCTAAAAGAAATATTGAAAGCTATATTCTAAATAGAAAAGCAGCAGGATGTTACAGAAATGAGAAACTCACAATTGGAAAGGTGATAACTCATGAATTACAAATAAAGTAAACACGAAATTATAAAAGAAGACATGCAAATCACTGAGAGTGGGAGAGGGAGGCAGGGAAACATAGAATTTTTTTCCATTCTTTTTTAAATTTTTTTAAGAGTAGGATGGGTTTGAGATCATGTTACTATCGGTTTAAAAAAATCACTTAAAGTAATGGGCTAATGGATTTACAAAAAAGGGTAACCACAAGTCAAAAACTTACAAGGGAGTCACAAAAATTTAAAAAAATCCATGATAATACAAAGGAAAATTACCAAACTACAAAAGATAGAAGAAAGGAACAAAGATGATATACCAACTCAACTGCAAAGATAAGTTCAAAATGGCAATAAACACACATCTATCATTAATTACAGTAAATGTTAATAGATTAAATGCTCCAGTCAAAAGACATAGAGTGGCAGACTGGATAATAAAGCAAGAACCTTCAATATGCTGCATAAAAGAGACCCACTTTAGGGAGAAGGACACATACAGATTGAGAGTGAAAGGATGGAAAAGATATTCCATGCAAATGGAAAAGCCAAAAAAGCAGGTGTTGCAGTACTGATTTCAGACAAAATAGACTTTAAAACAAAGGCCATAAAGAAAGATAAAGAAGGACATTTTATAATGATTAAAGCAGTGATAAAAGATGAGGATATTACACTCGTTAATATACATGCACCCAATAGAGGAGCACCTAAGTACATACAAGAATTACTAACAGAGATAAAGGGGGATATTGATGGGAATACAAACATAGTTGGAGATTTTAACACTGTATTAACATCACTAGACAGATCTTCCAGACCGAAAATAAACAAGACAATAGAGAAATTAAATAATACAATAGAAAAACTAGGTTTGGTGGATATTTTCAGAGCATTACACCCACCAAAAATAGGATATACATTCTTTACAAGTGCACATGGAACATTTTCCAGGATCGATCATGTACTTGGGCACAAAAGAAACCTCAACAATTTTAAGAAGATAGAAATTACCTCAAGCATCTTTACTGACCACAATGCCATGAAACTGGAAATCAACAACAGAGAAACAAAGGAGAAAATAAGGAAAGCATGAGATTAAACAATATGTTATTGAAAAAACAATGGGTCAATGAGGAAATCAAAGGTGAAATTAAAAAATACCTTGTGACAAATGATAATGAAAGCACAACCACTCAAAACCTATGGGACACAGCAAAGGCAGTGCTAAGAGGGAAGTTTATAGCGACACAGGCCTTCCTCAAAAAAGAAGAACAATCTCAAATGAACGATTTAACCCACCACATGAATGAATTAGAAAAAGAAGAACAAAAATCCCCAAAAAGCAGCAGAAGGAAGGAAATAATAAAGATCAGATAGGAATTAAACACAATAGAGATTAACAAGGCTATAGAAAAAATCAACCAAACCAAAAGATGGTTTTTTGAAAAAGTAAATAAAATTGACAATCCTCTGGCCAAACTCACAAAGAAGAAAAAATAGAGAGCACAAATTAGCAAAATAAGACAGGAAAATGGAAAATTTACAAAAAACAAAATAGAAATACAGAATATCATATGAGGATATTATGAAAAACTATATGAAACCAAACTGGATAACCTAGAGGAGATGGACAAGTTTCTGGAAACATACTGTCCACCAAGACTGAATCAAGAAGAATCTGAACACTTGAACAATCCGATCACTAGAAAGGAAATAGAAATAGCAATTAAAAGCATCCCTACAAATAAAAGTCCAGGACCGGATGGCTTCACCAGGGAATTCTACCAAACATACAAAGAAGAACTCATACCAGTCCTTCTTAAACTTTTCAGACGATTGAAAAGGAGGGAACACTCCCAAACACATTCTATGAAGCCACCATCACCCTGATACCAAAACCAGGCAAAGACACTACAAAACAAGAGAATTATAGGCCAATATCACTAATGAACATAGACGTCAAAATCCTCACCAAAATTTTAGCAAATAGAACACAACAACACATAAAAAAGATTATATATCATGAACAACTGTGGTTCATCCCAGGGACACAAGACTGGTTCAACATACACAAATCAATCAATGTAATACCTCACATCAACAAGAGAAAGGACAAAAACCACATGATCATCTCAATTGATAAAGGAAAGGGAATTGATAAAATTCAACACACATTCATGATAAAAAACTCTCACCAAAGTGGGTATAGAGGGAACATATCTCAACATAGTAAAACTATATATGACAAACCTACAGCCAACATAGTATTCAACGGTGAAAAACTCAAAGCTTCCCACTAAAATCTGGGACAAGACAAGGATGCCCACTATCACCACTCCTATTCAACATAGTCCTGGAAGTCCTAGACACAGCAATCAGGCAAGAGAAAGAATTAAAATAGATCCGAATGGGAAAAGAAGAGGTAAAAGTTCCATTTTATGATGATGACATGTTACTATATATAGAAAACACTAAAAGGTCCACACAAAAGTTACTAGAGCTGATTGATGAATTCAACAAGGTAGCAGGTTACAAAATTAATGTTCAAAAGTCAGTTGCATTTCTTTACACTAATGATATATCAACAGAAAAAGAAAGTAAAGAAACAATCCCCTTTAAAATAGCACCCAAAGTAATAAAATATCTGGGAATAAATCAAACCAAGGAGGTGAAAGGATTATACACAGAAAACTATAAACCATTGATGAAGGAAATTAAAGAAGACTTTAAAAAATGGAAAGATACCCCATGCTTTTGGATTGGAAGAATCAATATTTTTAAAATGGTCACACTACCCAAGGAAATCTACAGATTTAATGCAATGCTTATCAAATTACCCAGGACATATTTCACAGAACCAGAACAAATCATAATAAAATTTATATGGAACCATCAAAGACCTAGAATTGCCAAAGCATTACTGAAGAGAAAGAAAGAGGCTGGAGGAATAACTCTCCCAGACTTTACACAATACTATAGAACTTCAGTCATCAAGACAGCATGGTATTGGTACCAAAACAGACATATAGATCAATGGAACAGAATAGAGAGCCCAGAAATTAACCCACAAAATTTCGATCAACTCATCTTCGACAAAGGAGGCAAGAATATACAATGGAATAAAGACAGTCTCTTCAGCAAATGGTGTTGGGAAAACTGGACAGCAGCATGTAAAACAATGAAGCTAGAACACTCCCTTACACCATATATGAAAATCAACTCAAAATGGATTAAAGACTTAAACATAAGACAAGATACAATAAACCTCCTAGAGGAAAACATAGGCAAAACATTATTTGACATACATTTCAAAAATTTTCTCCTAGAAGAAATAAAAACAAGAATAAACAAATAGGACCTAATGAAACTTACAAGCTTCTGCACAACAAAGGATACCAGAAGTAAAACAAGAATAAAACCTATGGGGTTTTATTAATTATTAATAAAACCGGAATGGGAGAAAATTTTTGCAAGTAAAACAGACAAAGGCTTGATCTCTTGAATATATAAGCAGCTCATATGACTCAATAAGAAGAAAATAAACAACCCAATCTAAAAATGGGCAGAAGACCTAAACAAGCAGTTCTCCAAGGAAGACATACAAATGATGAAAAATCACATGAAAAAATGCTCAATATCACTAATTATCAGAGAAATGCAAATCAAAACTTCAATGAGGTATCACCTCACACCAGTCAGAATGGCCGTCATTCAAAAATCCACAAATGACAAATGCTGGAGAGGCTGTGGAGAAAGGGGAGCCCTCCTACATTGCTGGTGGGGATGCAGTTTGGTGCAGCCACTGTGGAAAACTGTGGAGATTCCTCAAAAGACTAGGAATAGACTTAACATATGACCCAGGAATCCTGCTCCTGGGCATATATCCAGAAAGAACACTACTTCAGGATGACACCTGCACCCCAATGTTCATGGCAGCCCTATTTACAATAGCCAAAACATGGAAACAGCCTAAATATCCATCAACAGATGACTGGATAAAGAATATGTGGTGTATTTTTACAATGGAATATTATTCAGCCTTAAAAACCGACAGCATAAAGCCATTTCCAGCAACATGGATGTTCCTGGAGAATGTCATTCTAAGTGAAGTAAGCCGAAAGAGAAAGAAAAATATCATATGAGATCACTCATATGTGGAATCTTAAAAAATAAATAAATACAGAAAAGAAACGGACTCATACACATAGAATACAAACTTGTGGTTGCCAAGGGGCGGGGTGTGGGAAGGGACAGACTGGGATTCCAAAATGTAGAACAGATAAATAAGATTATACTGTATAGCACAGGATAATATACACAAATTATTATTATAACTCACAGAGAAAAAATGTGACAATGAGTGTGTATATGTCCATGAATGACTGAAAAATTGTGATGAACACTGGAATCTGACACAAAATTGTAAAATTATTATAAATGAATAAAAAATGTTAAAAAAAAAAAGAAACTGTGTGTTCCCGACCAGCAAGTTGATTAATGTCTTTCACACACACATAACTGTCAGAGTTAAGCACATTGAAAGGAGTTCATTTATCTAGCATAAAGGGAATGGGTTACAGTAGAATCACTTACTCTGTTCTCTCAATATGTTTTCTAGTGCTGATATGAAGTTCCTGCCTTTTTCCCTGTAAAACCGAGTTGGAGCTAGTAACTCCATGTATAGATATAATAGTTTCCCACTGATACAAACTGTGTGTCCCCAACAAGCTAGGTGATTGACAGCTTTCACACACACTTAAATCTCAGAATTGAGCATGTGGAGAGGCGTTTGTTCATCTAGCATTAAAGGAATGGGTTGTAGTAGAAACACTGACTCTGGTTTCTCAATAAGATTTCTGGTGCCGGTTTGAAGTTCATGCAGTTTTTACTATAAAACCGTGTTGGAGCTATTTCCTCTGAGATATATTTATCTAGTGTAGATACCGACTGAAAAGAAACTGTGTGTTCCCATCAAGCTAAGTAATTGATGGCTTTAACTCACAATTAAAACTCAGAATTGAGCATGTTAAGAGAAGTTCGTTCATCTAGCATAAAGGGAATGGTTTGCAGTAGTAACATTTACTCTGGTTTTTCAGTATGTTTCCTTGTGCCTGTTAGAATTTCATGCAGTTTTCATTTTTAAAACCGTGTTTGAGCTAGTATCTCCCCATACATATGTATGTAGTATAGTTCCCCCCCAAAGAAACTGTGTGTTCCCAACAAGCTTGGTGATAAATGGATTTCACATACACTTAACTCTCAGATTTGAGCATGTGGGGAGACATTCGTTCATGTAGCATAGAGAATAGGTAGCACTAGAAACACTTACTCTGATTTCTCAGTATGTTTCTTAGTGCCAGTTTGAATTTCATGCAGTTTTCACTGTAAAACCGGGTTGGAGCTTGTATCTCCCAGTATATACGCATGTATTGTAGCTTTCCCCTTGAAAAGTACCTGTGTGTTCCAAACTACCCAGGTGATTGACGGCTTTCACACACACTTAACTCTCAGAATTCAGCATGTGGAGAGACGTTCATTCATGTAGCTTAAAAGGAATGGGTTGCAGTAGAAACACTTACTCTGGTTTCTCAGCATGTTTCCTAGTGCCGGTATGAAGTTCATGCAGTTTTCACAGTAAAACCGTGTGGGAGCTAGTACCTCCCCATATATATGTATGTAGTATAGTTTCCCACTCAAAGAAATTGTGTATTCCCAAAAACCTAAGTGATTGATGGCTTTCACACACACTTAACTCTCAGATTTGAGCACGTGGGGAGACATTCATTCACGAAGCATAGAGAAGTGGTAGTACTAGGAATACTTACTCTGATTTTTCAGTATGACACCTTCTGCCAGTTTGAAGTTCATACAGTTTTCAATGTAAAACTGAGATGTAGTAGTACCTCCCTATATATATATAAACCAGTTTACCACTCAAAAGAAACTCTGTGTTCCCAAAATGCTATCTGATTGATGGCTCTCACACACAAATAATTCTCACATTTGAGCAGGGGGAGAAAACTTCATACATCTAGTATAAAGTTAATTGGTTGCATTAGAAACACTTACTCTGGTTTCTCAGTATGTCTCCTAGTGCTAGTTTGAAGTTCATGCAGTTTTCAATATAAAAATGACTTGGAGATAGTACCACCCTATATATATGTATGTAGTATAGTTACCCACTGAAAAGGAACTGTCTGTTCCCAACAAGCTAGGTGACTGTTGGCTTTCACACACACTTAACTCTCAAAATTGAGCACGTGGAGACAGTTAGTTCATGTAGCATAGAGAAGAGGTAGCATTGGAAACACTTACCCTGATTTCTCAGTATGTTTCCTTGTGCCGGTTTGAAGTTCATGCAGTTTTCACTGTAAAACTTAGTTGGAGCTTGTACCTCCCCATATATATATATATGTAGTGTAGTATACCACTGAAAAGAAACTGTGTTCCCAACAAGCTAGGTGATTGATGGCTTTCACACACAAATAACTGTCAGATTTAAGCATGTGGAGAGGCGTTCGTTTATCTAGCATAAAGGGAATGGGTTGCAGTAGAAACCCTTACCCTACTTTCTCAGTATGTTTTCTAGTGCTGGTTTGAAATTCATGCAGTTTTCAAAGTAAAACCGAGTTTAACCTAGTTCCTCCCAAGATATATGTGTCAAGTGTAGATTCCCACTCAAAAGAAACAGTGTGTTCCCATCAATCATGGTGATTGATGACTTTCACACAGACAAAACTCAGAATTGGGCATGTGTAGAGATGTTCATTCATCTAGCATTAAGGGAGTGGGTTTCACTAGAAATACTTTAGTTTCTCAGTATGTTTCCTGCAACTGGGTTTAAGTTCATGTAGTTTTTACTGGAAAACTGATTTAGTGATAGTATGTCTTTATGTATATGTAATAAGTGAAGTCTCCAACTGGAAAGTAAATGTGTGTTCCCAACAAGAAATGTGTATGACGGCTTTCACCCACACTTAACACTCAGATTAGAGCATTTGGAGAGACATTCATTCATCTAGCATAAAGGTAATGGTTTGCAGTAGAAACACTTACTCTGGGTCTCAGTATGTTTCATATTGCTGGTTTGAAGTTCATGCAGTTTTCACTGTGAAACCGAGTTGGAACTAGTTCCTCCCCAGATATACGCAACTATTGCAGATTCAGACTGAAAAAAAACTGTTTTCGCATCAAGCTAGGTGATTGACGGATTTCACCATGACTTAACTCTCAGAGTTGAGCACATGGAGAGACTTTGGTTCATATATCATACAGTATAGGTAGCACTAGAAACACTTACTCTCATTTCTCAGTATGTTTCCTAGTGCCGGTTTGAACTTCATGACGTTTTCTCTGAAAAACCTAGTTGGAGCTAGTACCTCCCCATATATATGTATGTAGTGTAGATTCCAACTCAAAAGAATCTGTGTGTCCCCAACAAGCTAGGTGATGACGTCAGTCACACACACTTAACGATCAGAACTGAGCATTTGGAAAGACGTTCGTTCATCTAGCATAAAGGGAATGGGTTGCAGTAGAAAACTTATTCTGAATTCTCAGTATGTTTCCTCATGACAGTTTGAAGTTCATGCATTTTCACTGTAAAATAAAATTGGAGCCAGTTCCTCCCGTTATATATGAATGTAGTGTAGTTTCTCACTCAAAAGAAACTGTTTTCCCAAGAAGCTAGATGACTGACTGCTTTCACATACATTTAGCACTCAAAATTGAGAATGTAGAGAGACGTTCATTCATCCAGCATAAAGGGATTGCTTTGCAGTAGAAACACTTAATCTGATTTCTCAGTATGATTCCTAGTGCCGGTTTGAAGTTCACGCAGTTTTCACAGTAAAACCGTGTTGGAACTAGTACCTCCCATATATACATATATGTAGTGTAATTTCCAATACAAAAAAAACTGTGTCTTCCCAACAAGCTAGGTGGTTGACGGCTTTCACAAACAATTAACTCTCATAATTGAGCATGTGGAGAGACTTTCGTTCATCAGGCATAAAGGGAATGGTTTACAATAGAAACACTTACTCTGGTTTCTTAGTATGTTTCCTAGTGACGGTTTAAAGTTCTCTCTGTTTTCACTGTAAAACCGAGTTAGAGCTACTACCTCCCCATATATGTGCATGTAGTGTATTTTCCAACTGAAAAGTAACTGTGTGTTCCCAAAAAGCTAGGTGATTAATGGCTTTCACTCACAATTAACTCTCAGAATTGAGCATATGGAGAAATATTCGTTCATCTTGCATAACAGTAATGGGTTGCAGTAGAAACACTTTCTCTGGTTTCTTAGTATATTTCCCAGTGAGGGTTTGAAGTTCATGCAGTTTTTACTTTAAAACAGAGTTGGAGCTTGTACCTCCCCATCTATATGTATGTAGTGTATTTTCCCACTCAAAAGAAAATGTGTGTTCACATCAAGCTAGGTGATTGAAGTTTTTCACACACACTTAACTCTCAGAGTTGAGCACATAGAGAGATGTTTGTTCATTTAGCATAGAGATTAGGTAGCACTAGATACACTTACTCTGATGTATCAGTATGTTTCCATGTGCCGGTTTGTAGTTCATGCAGATAATAATGTAAACCCGAGTTGGAGCTAGCACCTCCCAATATATATGTGTGTAGTGTTGTTTCCCACTAAAAAGAAGCTGAGTATTCCCAAAAAGCTAGGTGATTGATGGCTTTCAAACACACTTAACTCTCAGAGTTGAGCTCGTGGAGAGACATTCTTTCATGTAGCATAGAGAAAAGTTTTCACTAGAAAAACTTACTCTGGTCTCTCATCATGTTTCCTAGTGCTGGTTTGAAGTTCATGCAGTTTTCACTTTAAAACCGAGTTGGAGCTAGTATCTTCACATATATATTTATGTAGTGTTTTTCCCCACTCAAAAGAATCTGTGCGTTCCCAAAGCTATTTGATTGTCAGCTTTCATACACACTTAACTCTCAGAATTCAGCAGGTGGAGAGACGTTCATTCATGTAACATAAAGGGAATGTGTTGCATTAGAAACACTTACTGTGATTTCTCAGTATGTTTCCTAGTGCTGTTTGAAGTTCATGGAATTTTCACTATAAAACCGATCTGGAGCTGATACATCCCCATATATATATATATATATATATATGTAGTGTAGTTTCCAACTGAAAAATAACTTTGTGTTCACAACAAGCTAGGAGATTGACAGCATTCACTCACACTTAACTCTCACATTTGGGCATGTGGAGAGATGTTCGTTCATCTAGCATAAAGGAAATGGTTTGTAGTAGAAACATTACTCTGGTTTCTCAGTATGTTTCCTAGTGCTGGTAAGAAGTTCATGCTATTTTCAGTGTAAAACAGAGTTGGAACTAGTACTGCCTCATATATATGTATGTAGTGTACTTTCCCACTCAAAAGAAACTGTGTGTTCCCTACAAGATAGGTGATTGACGGCTTTAAAACTCACTTAATTCTCAGATTTGAGCATGTGCAGAGACTTCCATTCATCTAGCATAAAGGGAATGGGTTGCAGTTGAAACACTTACTGTGTTAACTCATATGTTTCCTAGTGCTGGTTTGAAGTTCATGCATTTTTCACTGTAAACTCGATTTAGAGCTAGTACTTCCACAGATAATTTATGTAGGGTAGTTTCCCACTGAAAAGAAACTGTGTTCACCGCAAGCTAGGTGATTGACAGCTTTCACACACACTTAACTCTGAATTGAGCATGTGGAGAGATGTTCATTCATCTAGAACAAAGGGAATGGGTTATAGTAGATACACTTACTCCGGTTCCTCAATATATTTCCTAGTGGCTGTTTGAAGTTAATGAAATTTTCAGTGCAAAAAAGAGTTGGAATTAGTACCTCCCCATATATATGTATGTTGCTTAGTTTCCCACTGAAACAAAACTGTGTGTTCAAAACCAGCTAGGTGATTGACGGCTTTCACCCACACTTAATGCTCTGAATTGAGCATGTTGTTAAACTTTCGTTCATTTAGCATAAAGGGAATGGGTTGCTGTAGAATCACTTACTTCAGTTTTTCAGTATGTTTTCTAGAGCTG